AGTCTGTCTGGTTATCCTCCAGGAACATTCCTATCCTCTCTGAGTTCAAGAAGCTGTCCCCACGCTTTATTGGTCCCTTCCCCATTCAAAGGATTATTAACCCCTCTGCAGTCCGGCTGAAGCTTCCCAGAACTTTGAGAATCCATCCCACCTTTCATGTCTCCCAGATTAAGCCTGTTCACACCAGTGATCTGAGCCCTCAATCCGTTCCCCCTCCTCCCCGCCGTATCATTGATGACCATCCTGCCTACACGGTACACCGTCTCATGGACGTCAGGCGCCGGGGCAGGGGCTTACCGTACCTGGTGGACTGGGAGGGTTACGGCCTCGAGGAGCGATGCTGGATCCCTCGCTCCCGAGTCCTGGACCCAGTGATGATAAGGGCCTTCCACAGAGCTCATCCAGATAAGCCTGGTGGTCGCCAGGAGGCTCCCGTTGAGGGGGGTGGGGGGGGGTACTGTGAGGATCTGCAGTACTTCCTCCTTGTTTTTCCCCCGTCTGTGTTTGTTTTGTCTGTTTGTCTATGTGTCTGTCTCCCTGGCTGGGCGTGGTTACCTACATTCCGATTCCCGCCAACTCACCTCCTCAGCTGCTGCTCATCTCACTGATTGCCACTACTCACCTGCACCTGCTTAAAACCCTGGTTCCCATCTTCAGACTTCGCCAGTTCTTCGTTTATTCTTCAGTGGTAAACTATCGTCCAGGCCTACTAGTGTTTTTTCCTAGTGACTTTTTGATGCTCCTAGTGAAGGGAGATCATTTCCTAATCCTGCTTGTTCTTCCTGTTCCAGATCCACATACTCCAGCCTGCCACGTCCAGCCTCCCCTCCTGAGTAGCCCAGGTCCACGTCTTCCCTCTACATGTGCTTCGTTAACTCCTTGTCAGTGTCGTGGACAAAATAAAGCCTTTTTGACACTTCACCACAGTCTCAGTTGCTTGCATAGCGGGTTCTCATCTCCAGTCACTTCTCGGGAAACCTAACACTTGTAGCATCCTTAATAGTAGAGGAAATGTTGCCCATTTGCACAGTGGAATCACCATCGTTCAGAGATATACTGCGCAAAATACAGATAGCAGGAGACAGAAGACAGCCATGGTCAGATAGGAAAACATTCAGGAGCTATCTGGATCAGTCTTATGCGACAATGGAAACTGAACTAAAGAGAACATTTGAAACTTTAGCAGTCTGCGTGATCTGCCTGTAGGGAGGGGCGGGCCGGCCCTTCGAGTAAAGTATCGAGTAAAGTAACGAGTGAAGTAACGAGTTACTTTATGTAGAGAGTAACGAAGTAGTGTAATATATTACTTTTTTTAAAGTAATATGTAATATGTAATATATTACTTTTTATTAGTAACGACCCCATCTCTGCAGATAGGCGATGACTGCAAAAAGGAGCAATTTCCATAGACCCCCATGTTAAAATGCCCTACTTTACAGCAGAAAAAAACATGTTCCTGGCTGCAATAAATATTATTATGGATATAGTTAGATTCCACCTTGTTTTCTAACGCGACCCTTTTATTTATATTAGGTCTTAAAGTTTTTGCATAAATTAGGGCGTGGTCACATTGAGTGACGGCTCTGTGAAGTGACTGATGCTGCTAGCTTCTTGTCTCTCTGCTAGCTGCTCCGTGAGGCTACAGGGACTCTGCCTGCTCAGTTCATCCAGGGAACACAACTTGAAGCCGGCCGTGGTTGTTTGTTCTTCATGCTTATATATTGGACTATTGTGACTCAGTAGCGTAGGCAGAAATGTACTTTAGGGTAGGCCTGTAAAAAATAGGGTGGGCCAGATTTTTCTTCTGCGCATCAGAAGCTAACAACAATCCCCGCCGGTACCGGTGGCAGATTACTTTTAGAATACTTTTGGAATACTTTCTTATTCCATAACAGATGGGTATGTTTTGGTGAACAGGAGACACGTATGTTACTGTTTTAATGGCTTATCAAGAGCACAAACACAACCTCTTGGTGTCATTCTGGACAGCTCTCTCATCTACATCACCCGGACTGCTACTGTCTTAAAACCTTTGCTTAGAATATGTTATGAATTGTAAGGTGTCCTTGGGTGCTTTGAAAGGCGCCCCTAAATAGAATGAATTATCATGTATTATTATTATTATTATTATTATTATTATCTGAAACGATGTAATAACTTTTACAACTTGTTCCAGTCACTTGCCCCATGCATTCAGCAGCAGCAGGCCATTCACTTTGATTTCATCCCGTTATAAATGTCAACATTTCGACAATAAAGAAATGCTACATAAACGTTATCTTGCACATTTTATCTAACCATCTCCGTTTCTAACTTTCAATATATTTTAAAAGAGATCTCTCTCTCATCTGCGTGCGGGGGCGGGGCCTCACAGACACGCTGCATCTCTCTCTCCCTCACAGACATGCTGCAGCGCCGTGCAGTGTGCACACAGTTCTGCCGGCAATGAATATTACATTTTGTGAGGAAACTTTTCCACCAATAATTCCAAAATGTATTCACTTCAGGTTTACGAAAGTAACTGTAATCTGATTAGGCCTACTCGTTTTTCAAATGTAACGCCAGCTGAATACACTTGATTTTTGTATTCTGATTACGTAACGCCGTTACATGTATTCCGTTACAACCCAACCCTGTGTATATCTCTCCGGACTGTCCACCAGCAGATGAAAAACACCCACCTCTCCGCCTCTTCCAAGGGACGAGGGAGCCGTGCGGCAGAGTTTCCGTTAACGTTTTTTTTCTTCTGACAGCCCAGCAGCAGGAGACGTGGGGAGAGGGAGGCGGGGCTATTTAATCGTTATCAGAAAATGATCGTATAGATCGCTGCTAGATGAGGGCAGTGGGGGCTCTTCTTGGAGTCTGGCTTTGAAAAAAAAACAAAGTTCATTCGTGAACTTTGAGCCATAATTTATTTTGCAGGCAGCTCTCTGCCTCTCTCACGTTATTATGGCGCGCGCCGGAACCAACAATCAGTTTTTACCGTAAATTAGTTCGGTTCAGAGGATAAAAGACATACAACATGAATTAAACTCGATATTTGTTCACCTGAATTTCACTTTGAATGCTTGGATATTCTCAATGGGTGAATATTTCTTTTTAGAATAATAATGAAATAATACATTTTTTTTTAAAAATGACACCGAAGCTTTTTTTAGGGTGGGCCAATGAGTAAACTGGGTGGGCCTGGGCCCACCCTGGCCCTATGGTGGCTACGCCACTGTTGTGACTCGTTATGCGGTTAAAACAGACGGTGCATGAATGCGGTAAGTAAAATTCGAGTACTTTATTTATGTGTTAATGATTTTAATCAGCTACGTAATGAATGTTAAGGCTTGGGTTAGCGTGTAAGCGAGTGGTAGCTACATCGGTGCTAACGATGCTAATAGTAGCCTCCAAGTTAAAATCATAGGCTATATAAAGGTTAAAACTAAATAGACAAGTGTTAAGCGTTAAGTGGGATAATACTGTAGAACAAACGGCTTCTGTTTGAGGTTATAAAATAAGGTCATCCTTGTAACTTAGAGAGATATTTTATTATGAAGGTAGGAACTGTATGCATCGCTAAGGTTAATTTTAAATTGGCTATGCTCAAGTATGTAGACAAGCTAACGTCGAAGTAGTGTATGTGAAATCAACCTCACAATAAGATGTGTGTATATTACAATTATTAATGTCATATTTCAAGATGGTTACTTAGATATTACAATATGGTTGGTTGAGCTGGAGTTCATTATCGAGCTTACACGTTAACGTCACAGTCATCTGAAGAACGAACCCAAACCTTGTTGTTTTTATTAATTGCATTACCATTCTCTTATCAAGAATAACTTTTCTCCAATGACCTTTTCCCTCTCTGTCTGTGTCTGTGTATTCTCTTGTTCCGATTAACCCAGCCAAATCTTTGTTCTTGTTTTGTATCTATATCTACGCCGGGATCCGGAGTCGAGGCTGATCCTCTTGCTGTAGTCCTGTGTCTTGGATCCTCTATCCTGAGTTCTGGATTAAGTCGTGGACGTTCGGGTCGTGGCTGAACCTGTCTCTGCGGTCCTGCCTTGGGTCTCGTCATGCTGCTTCCCTGATGGCTTCCACAGGATTGTAGCTGACATCTTCGTGGATTCATCTTCTTATTACAGACACATGCATTTCCTAACATTCGGTCTATATGCTGTAAAATGTATTATCTCTTCGATTTACACACGGCATCTATTGCACGTCTGTCCGTCCTGGGAGAGGGATCCCTCCTCTGTTGCTCTCCCTGAGGTTTCTCCCATTTTTTCCCTTTAAACTGTGGGGTTTTCTCTGGAAGTGTTTCCTTGTACGATGTGAGGGTCTAAGGACAGAGGGTGTCGTTTTTTTTCATACTGATATTCTGAACAATCTGTGATGTTGTATTTGCTGTAAAGTGTCTCTACTGTAGGCTATTTTTATTTTATGTACAGCACTTTGGCTCCACCAAAAATCGTTTATAAATGTGCTATATAAATAAAACTTGATTTGATTGATTTGATTACCAAATTGGTATCAAATAAACAGTAAGCATTGGTAACACAACTTCCAAAGTTACAGTAAAATAAAAAGGACCCTGACTCGGACAATACACAATCCAACATGTTCAACAGAAGAGAATCAGTTATATTGTTTGTACACATGGTACTTTACATATATATATATCACATTGTGATAAAAACGTGTGTTTAATTATAAAGAAACTACTAGGTAATAATTACATGTTTCTGTGATAACTGTGAGTCCTGCTGTGTGGTGTGATCACATGCTGAGAAACCTCTCAAGTCCTTCATGTGTTTGACATGTCGCCTCCTTCACTCAATATGAAGAGAGGAACGCTTCAGTTTAACTAACATTATAAATAAATAGACGAACAGTGTTGGTTTTATTTTGCTCTCAGTATTTAAACAGCAGAAATGTTAAAGTGTTTATTTGAATAATTAAACTCCTGATCCACATTAGATTATAAAGTTAATCACATCTGGACTTACTTGGCCTTCCTGCAGTTCCTCACAGCCGGAATCAGTCTCCGTTGTCCCTCCCATGATGTGTTGTACTTATTCACGTCCAACTCATCCAGAACCTCCTCTGACATCTGCAGCATGTAGGCCAGAGCAGAGCAGTGGATCTCAGAGAGTTCCTTCTCAAATCTGTTCTCTGACTTCAGGAACTCTGTGATCTCCTGATGTACTGAGAGGTCCTTCATCTCTGTCAGACAGTTGAAGATGTTGATGCACCGGTCAGGAGAGGAATCATAACTGCTCATCTCCTTCAGGTTGCTGATGGCTCTCTGGATGGTTTCTGGTCTGTTGTCGGTGCGACCCAGCAGGCCTCCTAACAGACTCTGGTTGGACTCCAGAGAGAGGCCGTGGAGAAAGCGGACAAACAGGTCCAGGTGGCCATTTTCACTTTGGAGGGATTTCTCCATGGCTCCCTCCAGGAAGACAGGCAGGGATGGGTAATCCTGATCACTGATGTTATAGTCTCTCCTCAGGAAGTCCTTCAGTACCGCTGTGTCTCTGTTGGTGTAACAGTGCAACATGTAGACTGCAGCCAGAAACTCCTGAATGCTCAGATGAACAAAGCAGTAGACTGTTTTCTGGAAGATCACACTCTCTCTTTTGAAGATCTGTGTACAAACTCCTGAGTGCACCAAGGCCTCGTTGACCTCAAGGCCACAGCGCTGCAGGTCTTCTTGGTAGAACATGATGTCTCCTTTCTCCAGATGTTCAAACGCCAGCCTCCCCAGCTTCAGAAGAAGCTCCCTGTCAGCCTCCGTCAGCTGCTGTGGACTCGTCTCATGTCCCTCTTCATACTTCTGCTTCTTCCTCTTGGTCTGGACCAGCAGGAAGTGTGAGTACATGTCAGTGAGGGTCTGGGGCAGCTCTCCTCTCTGGTCTGTAGTCAACATGTGGTCCAGAACTGCAGCAGTGATCCAGCAGAAGACTGGGATCTGACACATGATGTGGAGGCTCCTGGAGCTCTTGATGTGAGAGATGATTCTGCTGGACAGGTCTTCATCACTCGATCTCCTCCTGAAGTACTCCTCCTTCTGGGCGTCAGTGAAGCCTCGTACTTCTGTCACCCTGTCCACACACTCAGGAGGGATCTGATTGGCCGCTGCAGGTCTGGAAGTTATCCAGACGAGAGCCGAGGGAAGCAGCTTCCCCCTGATGAGGTTTGTCAGCAGCACGTTGACTGAGGACTGCTGAGAGACATCAGACACAACCTCACTGTTTCTGAAGTCCAGAGAAAGTCTGCTTTCATCCAGGCCGTCAAAGATGAACAGCACTTTGCAGACAGCCAGCTGCTCTGCTGTGACCTCCTGTAAGGTTGGATGGAAAACATGGAGCAGCCTGAGAAGACTGTACTGCTCACCTTTGATCAGGTTCAGCTCCCTGAAGGAGAGCGGGATCACCAGACTGACATCTTGGTTTCCCAAACCCTCGGCCCAGTCCAGAGTGAACTTCTGCACTGAGAAGGTTTTTCCAACTCCAGCGACTCCGTTGGTCAGGACCGCTCTGATGGGAGTCTGTTGGTCCGGTAAGGCTTTAAAGATGTCCTGGCACTTGATTGGAGTGTCATGGAGGGGCTTCTTCTTGGAAGCTGTCTCCAGCTGCCTCACCTCATGCTGGGTATTAACCTCTTCACTCTGGCCTTGTGTGATGTAGAGCTCAGTGAAGATGCTGTTGAGGAGGGTTTCACTTTGATCAGTTCCTTCAGTCACACGTTCACATCTCCTCCTCAGACTGAGCCTATGTTCATCTAAAACCTCCTGCAGACCACGTTCTGCTGGAAGAGAAGGAAACGTGAGAGAATGAGGAAAATGCTCTGAGAATCTAATTATAACAATAAAACAACAACAAACGGACTGAGTTTAAATGTTGTATAAACAGCTTACTGTCTCTGCTCTACAACAGTATACCTATTCAGAAACAAAGGAACCAGGAAGAGGAATAAAACGCTGCGTGTGTTCGGCCTCTTACCTCGTACAGTTCTGGTCTGACTGGCTGTCTGCAGTCCAGCTCTGGTTCTTTCTCCACACTGGGGACAGGAGGCGTCTCCTGATGGAGGTCTCTGCTCCCAGTATGAGGTGATGCACTGTCTGCAGAACCAGTGTCCACAGCTGGTAGAGACTGGATCCTTCAGGACGTCCTGACACAGAGCACAGCTGGACAGCTGCTCCTCCACAGGAACACCACTCTTCCTCTTCCCTCTGTGGAGATGAACACATCCTTTACAGCACGTTACATTAGTGGAGCTGATTCTCACCAAAGGGCAGAGCGTCACAAACGTCTCAAGACTCTTCTCCTCCAGTAGGACTCAGGTGAGGGTGCTGCACTTTTCCTTGTTCATGTGATGTTTTGGTGTTGTTGTTGTTGTTGTTTTTTCCGTTAACTATCAACTAAGTAATTTTGTTAGTACGTTTTTGTGTTTCACTTATTATCCTACGATGCTGTGATGTGTGGTTTTGTTTTAGAAAGGGGCAGGAAATATAAGATTATTTTCTGCTCCCTGCTCCTTTTCGGTCAATGGGGTGTTTTTAGAGACGTGTTTTGTAAATGTTTGTTATACGTTAAGTTGTGCATACCATGAACGGAACGAATAAAAATGAAATGAAGTGAAAGATGAAACGTTTCACGCTGCACGAATACGCAGGTGACCTGAATTTCACCTCTTCACTTTATTTCAGTGGCGAACCGTCAGGGCCTTCAAGGTATTCAGAGAATGGAACACTCAGATAAAACAAACAAAAAATCTATTTAATTATATAAATAAAATGTAATAAAATGAATAAATGAGAATGGTATCCGTGTTGTTGATCTGTAATATTACAGTGTTACGTTGATTTGTTTGTCCTTCTCGGACCATGCACTACGCATTTCAGTGGTTTTGTGTTAGAAAAGAAAGCAACCAATCAGATCTTGTTCTGGGTCTCTGGGTAGAATATCCTTCAACAAGGTATTCTACATCCTTGATCGAATGCTCTGGCCGTTGCACTGAATGAGAGCGTACGTTTGGACTGACAGTTTGATCAACCAATCATATATTGATTTGTAGCCAATGGGCGTGTTCTTTCAGAGTTCCCCTCGGTTCCAGAGTATTCTAGAAGGCCCGCTAGTTAACTGGCTCGAGACAGAGGATCTAGATGAATGCGACGAAGCAATTCATGCCGTTTTATTGTTTTTAACGTTGAAATGACAAGTGCAACAGGTGAAGATGAAGTTGTTGAGGAATTGTTGTGAGTACCCTTTTCAAGACGACAATTCAGTGAAAAGACGAACATTATAATGCCGGGGAGGAGGGGGGGGGGCGGGGCGACGGGGGGTGTAGAGGAAACTTCTGTGTAGCTATGCAGTGGGAGTCACCGACTCAGGAAGGAGACACGGTAGGAGCAGTAGCTTTGATGTCAAACACATGATGGTTTATTTGGAGTTAACGGCCGGAGGATTCACATCACAAGTCCAAGAGTCAGAGGTTCTGACTTCACGGTAGAGTTGCCACGTCAATTCTGAAGAACTCTACCCCAGACCCATGTATTTAGCTAGTTCAGAGAGCATCATCAACATGCTGCATAACAAGATAGAATGATAACACCTCTATCAGCTGACGCCAACAGGCAGGAACAGGGAGACAAAACACTGAGAGCACAGCAGCCAAGGTTACAGGTGCCTGTGCTCAGTCAGGACAGTTTGAACTGATACACTGGGTCAAAGTTATGGGCCTTGAAAACTATTCCACAACAGGGGGTGTGTGTGTCTACAGAAGGCTAATGCTAAACACAACCAGCTCACCAGGTCATCACTATTATTAATAAACATCTTTAAAATACATATCATAATCATGTTTTGGACGATATATTTAGTTTCTAGTGAGTATTTATCAATATCTTTGCCATTTAAAACCTTTTTATGACACTGATACAATGATGCTATAAATGCATATTGAAATATCCTTAAATAACGTTAGCTTGCTGAACTCCGCTGCCTTTGTTCTGTACTATACTGCACACATGATATTATTAAAAAACAGTTTAATATATTAGATTATATAAGAACTGGATCCTCTTCAGGTCAGGTTACAGCAGAAACTCTTACTTTGTGTCTGAGGGTCCAGGTTCATTACTGAAGTATGGATTTTCCTCTTTAGACCGGTCACTCTTCAGAGACAGACAGCTGGAGACTGAAGATGTGTCCTCTTCCTCATCTTTTAAACCACTCATCTTCTCCAGTCTGAGAGATAAACCACTAAAACTGGAGACACACACACACACACACACACACACACACACACACACACACACACACACACACACACACACACACACACACACACATTATAATAAACACACTTGTTTCAATCGTAACCATCATAATAATAAACTTGTGTTATGATATTAGGGTCATGCAGAGTCAGACAGCTGTCCCTTTAAGAGAGAGAGAGAGAAAGAGAGAGAGAGAGAGAGAGAGAGAGAGAGAGAGAGAGAGAGAGAGAGAGAGAGAGAGAGAGAGAGGCGCGTGCATGTGTATGTGTATGGTAGAGCGAGCGAGCGAGCGGTGCTGTGTGTCTTTGAAGTGAACGAAACAGCAGCAAAGGTCTGTCGAGTGTCTTCAAAGTTAGATCTGTAACAAAGACCTTAATAAATGCCACGGCCTCCCAAAGAAGAGCTCGCCTCTCAGCCTTATTGAAAAGTGGGTTATTGAACCAGAAGTGTGTTGCTTCGGCCCTGGAAGACTGCAGAGAGTCACCCCTGCTTCCTCCACTACGGTCTGGGAGCCGACAGGAAAGTTTAACACTTGGTTAAAGAACATCAAATCAGTCAGACTTCCGACAGGCCGCTCCCCATTTTGACTGCGCTGGGCTGTCGCATGTTATGTTGCTTTGATGAGTCAGAAAACAGGAAATAAAACCAGTTCACACCACTTGTAGAAGTCTCTTTGGACTCTAGGACGCTGATGTTCTGACATCCAGTAAAACAGAGTAAATAATGTGTTAGAAAGCAGACCCTGGTGTTAACACTCACCCTGTTGTCCTCCTGCTCCTCGAGCTGTAAAATGGCGTCTGGCACTCTGACAAGTCTGACTTTATACTTTCACTTTCAACTCCCCTTCTTGTCTGCAGCTCCTCTTGATTCATAACCATCCTTATCAGCTGAACCAGTTCACATACAGGGACTATGTTCAGTGAGATAGAAATAGAGCTAAACACAAGCTCAACAAAGTTATTGAAATAAACATTAATACCACATGGAAATCACCCAGTAAACATCCTGCATTCAAAACCTCAGTTTAAAGGTCCCCTATTATACTATTTTTCATCAATATATTATAGGTCTAGATATATACAGAACATGTCTCTGGAGTGTTTGTGTTGAATTATGAATTGTAATATATGAATTTGTTTATGTAATACTCTTATACTAATCACTTCCTGTATTCCTGTGATAAAAGGACATGCGCAATAAAATGAGTCACTTCCGGTTGAAGCAAAGCCGACGGTGTATGTGTGTATTTATTCCTCTGTCACGTTAAAATATGTTCACGGTATTCCTGCCCTAAGATCATGGCATCGTTAACAGGTTATGGGCCCAGGAGGGACTATGGAAGCGTTTGTGTTTCGACGGAGACGAGAAGAACTACGAGTTATGGGAGTCAACGTTTTTGGGTTACCTGCGACTGCTAGGATTGAAGGCTGCCATCCTAGAGGAGCCAGGTGAGGATGATGAGGCTGATGATCAGAAAAACGAAGAAGCCTATGCGGAATTGATCCAGGTACTGGACGATAAAAGCCTTTCACTGATCATGAGAGAAGCAGTGGACAACGGAAGAAAAGCGTTACACTACGCTGGGAAAGGGAAACCACGGGTGATCAGCCTCTACACTGAACTAACGTGTGTATGGGAGAGTTAAGAAGAGTGACATCAGCGGGCAGAGGGAGTCCGCTGTTAGAGCCATGAAGACGGATTAAAAGAACGAGCAAACCAGCCTCTCGTGTTCTTGTTTATTTTCTTATAATCAGATATCTCTGCACCCCATCCTCCTGTCAGCTGCCCCGCGCTCAGGCTGGATCAACGTGATGACGTTTCAGTGGCGGAATGTCACTCAGTATTTTTACTCAAATACCTGAGTACATTATGAGGTAAGTGTACTTTTGTTTGTTGGTATTTATACTCCACTAAATCCATTTCCAATACAACAATAAACTAAAGTAATACAATCTAAAAGTCTATTTGATATTTCTGATTCAGTTTTCTGCTTTGGTGTAATGTTGTGGATTGTATCTATAGTTTGTTGACTCCTTGTATCAGTGAAAGTGCATCGATGTGGTTTCCCTTAGTATCGTGCGTCTGACGTCATCACGTAACGTCTTTTCCCGATTCTTCCACCTGCAGCTGATCCGCCATGTTTGCTTGTTCAGGTGTTTTTCACAACAGTTAAGTGAAATGAATACAGGTTATATTTGGTATACAGAATAATGAACAATGTCAGGGATAAAATGGTCCAGCTGGATTGTTTAAATGTTGTTGTGTAAGTCTTAAGCATTAAGTAATATCTTCATGATGTTTGATTGATATTAGGAATACTGTTTTGGCTTTATATTCAAACCACTGGTGTTTAATTGCCCAGTGATAATGTAGCTGTTAGCATTGCTATAGTGCCCTGCTGCTCTTCCAGTTAGCATGTTGCTATCAAGTCTAGTTTGTTTCATTATGAATTAAGTATTAAAATAAGCTCCACGTGTAATATTCATTTCCGCCACAAGAGGGGGCACAGTGCAAGGGGAAATGCCACGGGGTGAGATTCAAGGTTCAAGGCTTCTATTGTCATTTGAACATAGCTACAGTGTAGATATATCAATGAGAATCTGAGGTCTCAGGATCCTCCAACAGAGCAACACAATAACACAGATACAATAGTTAAAATAGTGTGAGGAGAGAGGGTCCGCAGAATCAGAACATCCCCAAACCCAGGTGGGCAAATCTTACCTGAAACCCAACAATAAAAACCTGCTTTCTTTACAGACTTATATTACATGTTTTATGAGTCTTGCACAAAATAATCAATGTGAAAAGGCTCCGTGAAATAATAGACTTGTTTTTTATTTATAACTGTCGTGTTTATTTGAGCTGTACTGACTCAGGGTCTGAATGCCTTAATGACGTGTTTCCACTTTATGAATTAACAAAACATTTTTCAAGAAGGTTTGAGTTTTTGAAAAAACTGCTAAAGATGTTTGAAGAATTTAATGCAATATTTAGCTTTTTATATTATTTTATGCACAGGTTTATTATATTTCTGTCTTTGATCACAAACAGATCCTTAAAGAAACTCCAGGAGTATGAAGTTCGATCAATGTGTTCATGTTTTCCTGAAATCTGTTTTGCAGAACTCACTCAAGTAAAAGTCCTGCATTCAAAATGTTCCTCAAGTAAAAGTAGAAGTACTCAGATCTTGTACTTGAGTAAAAGTAGAATTACTCAGATCATGTACTTGAATACAAGTAGAAGTACTCAGATCTTGTACTTGAGTAAAAGTAGAAGTACTCAGATCTTGTACTTGTGTAACAGTAGAAGTACCAGAGTGTAGGAATACTCTGTTACAGTAAAAGTCCTGCATTCAAAAATGTTCCTCAAGCTAAAGTAGAACATTATAAATACATGTAGTCGAGTAAAAGTACACCATTTACCTCAGAACTGTAGTGGGGTAGAAGTACTAAATAGTATACATTGGAAATACTGAGGTGTTTATGTTCTAAAAATTGTACTTAAGTTACAGTACTTGAGTAAATGTACTTAGTTACTTTACACCACTGGTAATAATTCATATTTTAATATCACAAATGTGTACACATGTGACAGTTTACAATCACCATAACCAAACTAAAACACACCAAGTGCTCAGTTGAATAAATACTGTATATAAAGTAAACATAAATACAAATACCAGAACTTTTGATATGTTGTCTTGTTTTCTTCTCGCTCATTACTCACACAAGTTCTGATAGATATGAACATTTTGGAGAACTAAAAGCATAATGAATATCTTCCAACTTTAAATACAATAAAAGCACCAAAGATCTGCAGCAGAAAATAACCCCTAAAAGATATTGACTCATAAACAACGTTTGTCCAAATCTTCACCGTCCATGAAATAGTTTACCTTTAAAGAAATAAAGAGTATTTTTATTTTAGTGCGTATTTGAATGTAGTCAATACTAATGTAAACATGTGTGTGGTAAACAAGCTTTTCTACATGAAACATTTATACAATCTTAAACATTTGTACAATGCAGTCACACAATGTAAAAGTTCCTTCATTTTTCACACGTGTTTTCAAGTCATTTGATCCGTAAAGATGACTGTGTCCTGGATCGTGAGCCCTGGATCTTGAGTCGTGGCTGTGGTCCTGGATCATAGGTCCTGGATGGATATCCTTGTGGATTCATCTTCCTATTATACACACATGCATTTCCAAACATTTGGACTACCTATGTTGTAAAATGTATTATCTTTTCAATTTACACACGGCATCTATTGCACGTCTGTCCATCCTGGGAGAGGGATCCCTCCTCTGTTGCTCTCCCTGAGGTTTCTCCCATGTTTCCCTTTAAACTCTGGGTTTTCTTCGGAAGTTTTTCCTTGTACGATGTGAGGGTCTAAGGACAGAGGGTGTCGTATTGTCATACTGATATTCTGTACACACTGTGAAGACCACTGTAACATTTGTGATATTGGGCTATATAAATAAACATTGATTGATTCCCGTTGTCAAAAACAATGACAAAGAAAACAAGACTTAATAACGCCTAAAACCAACATTATTTAAATTCTGTGTGCTGTGTTTATAATGTTCCTGAGGTAGGTGAGAATACATCTGGTTTGAAAATAGTGATATAAAAAGATTTAGCCAGGAAAGTACCATCAAATAGTACCGATTGTGTGTATTACTTCATCGCTTTTGTTGATGTAATACTCGTTTTCGCCACAAGAGTGGCACAGTGCTTGGGGAAATTAAAGTCAGCCTCTTGTGGCCAAAAGGAAAACTACAACACACAGAAAACCAAAGAAAATAATAAATACAAATGTCACCGTGCATCTTTGTTTCCCTGCCAATGTTTTTACAGATTACAAATAAAATAGGGAGCTGAATAAATAATAAAATGTGTTTTTAATGGATACTTTTTAATTTAGGAACTGACATATGTATTTATATTTATTCCATTCACCTGGAAACTTTTCCCAACTAAGACATATTCCCTTTCTTTTCACTAGTGCTGGGGGGAAACGATTAATCGGGCGATTATTTGATCGATTAGTCGACTAATCTAACGATTATTTTTCTGTTGTTCAATTCATAAAAAACGTAATGTAAAAAAATTGTATTTTCACGATACTGTGTCTCAGGGGATCTTAATATTTAAGAACCTATTAATGTGTTATACCAGATTAACGGAAATAATCTCAGCTAATTGACGATACAAACCATGTTTACCAAAACAAAACACAAGTCTCATAAGAAGCATCTAAATGACCCCTGAGCGAAAAATGCTAACGGACATAACTCAAGAAAAAAGTACCCTTATTACTAATCGTAGCTGCACATACAATATATCCGATTAAAGCTGAGACTCCACAGATTATGTAGGTATATAGTATCATCACTGAGTGATCCGGACTCGCGACAGGGGAAGCAAATACAGTCATCACAACACGTACCTTCACAGAGCTTCTCGGGAGATCGTCTCACCACCGTAATCTGATCAAAAGACGTGTTCAATGGCAATAAAATGAGAAAAAACGCGGCTGAATCGGTTAATCCATAGGTTTTTAACGTCTATGTATAAAAAAATGATTGAATTTATAATCCATAATTCCATTTTATGTAAAAATCGGAGAGCAAATGCTAGCTGCTAATGGTAGCCACCACAGCTAGCTGCTGCTTCTGCTAGGCTATGCAGCAGTCTCAGTGAGATATAAATATATAAATATCTTTGTGTTTTGGACTAACTTTAAAATATTCCCATGCTTTTGAAGACCTAGGGCGAGATGTTTTCGTTTGGGGGCTTCGTGCGCAATCCTGTGAGGAGGAGGTGGTAGCCGTTTCAGTCTCCATTGTGTTTGAAGTGCGATTGCGAACTGCTTGTTGCTTTGGGTGACCCACGTGTGTGTAGCGACGCGTCGACGCGGAAATATGTCGTCGACGATATTTTGAAGTCGACGCGTCGCTACAGCACTACTTTTCACCTCTTCTTATCTCATAAACACAGGAGAGAAAACCCTTTGGATCAGACTCAGAAAACAGACACATAAAACTCTCCTCTCAGTGCTCTATTAACTGTAATCACTGAAACTGTGATGTGATGGAGAAGTTGTGTCCAGTCTCACGGACAATAATATGTTTTTTTAACATATCCTTAAAATAGTTTAAATAAGTCATATATACATATAAAAGCACTATTTCTTGCTGTTTTAATGAAAATAAAAAAAAGTCTGCACCATTTACACCAAAGCAAACTCCTCGTATGTGTAATAATATTAATTCATTATATTTAGAGGCGCCTTTCAAAGTACCCAAGGACACCAATTGATAGAATGAGGTTTAAGACAGTACAAAAGGACGGGACATGTAGCACTGCAGTGAGGAGGCTGATCTGAACCGGTGGGTTTTGAGGAGGGACTTGAATGTGCTGACTGTGTAAACCTGTACTTGGTCATAAAACTGGTTCTGGTTCAGATCTGGACCAGAGGGCTGTAGTCCTGCAGGTCCACTCTGGTTCTGATCTGGCTGTAGTCCTGCAGGTCCACTCTGGTTCTGATCTGGCTGTAGTCCTGCAGGTCCACTCTGGTTCTGATCTGGCTGTAGTCCTGCAGGTCTACTCTGGTTCTGATCTGGCTGTAGTCCTGCAGGTCCACTCTGGTTCTGATCTGGCTGTAGTCCTGCAGGTCCACTCTGGTTCTGATCTGGCGGTAGTCCTGCAGGTCCACTCTGGTTCTGGTTCAGATATGGACCAGTGGGCTGTATTCCTGCAGGTCTACTCTGGTTCTGGTTCAGATCTGGACCAGTGGGCTGTAGTCCTGCAGGTCCACTCTGGTTCTGGTTCAGATCTGGACCAGCGGGGTGTAGTCCTGTAGGTCTACTCTGGTTCTGGTTCAGATCTGGACCAGCGGGGTGTAGTCCTGCAGGTCCACTCTGCGAGCGTCTCCGAACACGATAAAGACTGCGAGGCCGGAGACGTTCACCAGCGAGACGAGAGAGAAGACGGTGGCCCAGGAGAGCGTGACCTCGATCAGGAAACCAGACAGAGACACAAACACCAGGCCTGAGGCAAGAAACACATTATAGATTATATCTGTTGGGGAAATACTGAATGTCCTCTTCCAACATGAGAGTCACATGATAACAAAGGTATCCCAACTGTAGCTGTGAACATGACAGGATGTGTGATTACCTAGAAGAGCATCAGGACTGTTTGAGGCATATGATAGCTATGTGATTAACATGATGATTCAGCCTCTATGGAGAGAGACATCAAGCATGCTCATTTCTGACGTGGAGCTAATCTGAAGTAAACATTGAATACTGCTTTCTATTCCTCCATCTTGTGACTGTGTAACTCCCTCTCTTGGATATCAGCATGTGAAGGACACTGTTCAGGAACTAGTTGATGCTCTGTATGTGATGACTACTTCCATTCTGGAGAGGATCACAGATACATGGATCCTGAGATTGAAGATCAAGCCGGTGACCAGTGAGATCCATACAGTAGCTGGGGACTTTAAACTATATTTGGATGATAATACTTTTATACTTTTACTTGAGTAACATTTTGAATGCAGGACTTTTACTGTAACAGAGTATTACTCAAGTACAAGATGTGAGTACTTCTCCCACCTCTGATTATAATATTGTTTTATATTTGTGATACATCGATTCGACGGACAAGAGACTGTAGACTTTACATATATTACAGATAGATAAAAGTCATATTAAACATACCCATGAAAGCTCCCATCATATTCATGAAACCTGTAGAAACAAACAAAAACAAACACTGGAGGTTTATGAAATGTAAACAGCCACCAGTAAAATTGTAAGTTACTTGTACTTGAGTATTTCTATTTTCATCACATCTCAGAGGCAAATACTTTACTCTTTACTTCATTTTTAATACCATTACTGACAGGCTAAAATCAACAAATCTACTATGAGGTTTTATTATAGAGAAAGCTAAACGTTAATTGATCCCTTATTGTTTAATTCACATGATACCCGGCAGTGAAAGTGAAAATTAAAATCCTCTTTAGCGGCTCCAACATCAAAATAATCTCCACATGAATGCATCAATAATCACATCTCAATAACATGAAAAGGGCCATTCTTAATGACTTTTTTAATGCAGAGACTGTATTCATCACAGTGTACTTATTCGCTGGAATTATAACTACTAAACTTATTAAAATATCTAAGAGTACACTGACCGTAGAGGGCTCCGGCACACGAGGGGGTCAGATCCTGCACATTCACCGTCACACCACTGAAACACATCCAAATCATCATGTTTACCACTACAGTACTACTACTACTACCGTA